TCATTATGTGGTCTAACAGCGATGGGACTATAACTCTCTCTCAACGCCAAGCTCAGCGAGAGGTCATGCCAACCGTGGTCGCAAGTCCCCCTCGTGTAGCTACTTTAAACGATTCTCTCAGCATTGTGGGTGGTCAAATCGGTTTATCCCACATTTTCTCATTATCGATAAATAGACCTCAGGATCCACACCACAACTTGCTTACACCATCCCCGTACGTGATGCACTTACGAAAATTCGGAACCAACTCATTTCTCGTCTTGAAGGCTAACAGCGACCAGAAGCAGAGCGTTATTTACGCTTTTGGAACTCAAAACCCAGGTTCATCAGCGAAAGACGCAACACTGGTGCAGCATGTTGATTATGGCGTACTTCAGTTAGACTTGACCAAGTCGTCGTCGACGTCAAATGGAAGCACAGGGGGGACCTCATCCTCCGGGGGGAGCACCTCGTCTGAGGCTACCCCATTGATGCCTTATCAGCGAATGATTGTTGCTCACGCAACCTTCTGTTCTGTCGGTTTCCTGTTGTTTTTGCCCGCTGGGGCTCTTTTGGCGAGGTATTCAAGAACATTCACAAGCGTGTGGTTTAAAGGACATTGGATTGCACAATTCGCGTTGGGCAAGTTTATCCCTCCCATTTTTCTGCTGTGCAGGATCCAACTATGTTTTGACAGCGGGTCCGTCTATTGTCATTGGAATCGCTCTGGGCATTCAGTCTGTTGCAGAAGCAGGTGCCACGCATCTAAACGATAGTCACAAAGTATATTTTTATCCCCCCTCTCCGGCCAATATCTTATCTCGTCGAATCAGAAATACGGCGTTGCGATCTTTATTCTTTACCTTCTCCAATGCGGAGTGGGTGCAATCATTCATTGGGTCAAGGCCAGTGATCGTACCCGTAGACCTTTCCAGAATTATTTCCACGCAATCTTTGGGCTCCTCATCATCGCCCTTGCGTTTTATCAAGTTCACTCGGGATATAAAGTTGAATGGCCCAAGGCGACAGGACGTGGTGAACTCTCCAATGGTGTCAACGTCTTCTTTTTCGTCTGGTTAGCGGTGAGTCATTTGCGCACTCATTTGAGTGCCCTTTGACAATTCTGTTCTCTAGGTGGTGCCTGTAGCATATTTTGTTGGATTGAGTTTCTTGCCGAAACAATTTAGGCAAGAGAGAACGTCGGTCGTCTCACGTGGTGACGGTGACCTCAAACTAGTTCAAATGGGGTACAAAAATCGCCAGTGAGGAAGAATTAATTGGAATCAATTTGTAACTCGCTCTTGAACTCGCTACTCCATACACGCTGTCATGTGACCGTTTCGCTACCCCTATGAACAAACTGCGTTACATACAAAAATCTTTAAAAAGTGCTTATTGGATAACAAATAGACGGAAGCCTCGTTTCAGATCCAACTCTCGCAGAAGGCAAGGCCGTGAAGAGGACGAAAACGAACACAAGTTGACCTTCTGCCCAGCGGTCTGCCCATGCCTAATCTCCTCCCCCCTGACTTTCAATGCGGCCCTATTCACTGATGAGTCCCACCCCGTTGCAGTTTCGATACCCACGTCGTCTCCACTCCATCCCTTCATGAAAAGCCATGTCATTCGAAAAAGCCAGTCGTTTCACGCCGTCGTGATTCGTAAATGATTGCCAACCCCTTCTCTTATATCCGTCAGGCAACGACATAGTGACTGAGCTTTTCAATGTCGACCTCTTGGATTTGGTTCGGATCGTTTTGACAAGAAAAATTGGATTTGGAGTCATCCTGGTGAGGACTATAATTCGCTTGTTGTTCTGCCGTGGGGTTTTTAGAGGAAAGTTTTGGCAGCTCATGCATTTCGGCCGTCACGACAAATGACTTTCGCTTCTTCAACTCTTCCAAAAAGAATGTTTTGTCTGTGACGTCCCGGCGAATTTCAATATAATCCGTGGCGAACTCTCCAATCTGTGTTGTCATGTGAGGGAGACTTTTGGTTACGGTGCGACATTTGGCGTACCTCGACTTCATCCATACCAAGAATCTCTTCTTGTTTCGTACACCGCAGGCTCAGACCGGGAATGGCGTCCACGGTCTTGGCTATAAGGGCGGTGAAGACGAAAGTGTAGGCGGACGTAGCACATATGTAAGCAAATTGTTTATACAGCTGCTTTACCCATTCGTCGGGAACGGCGGTGGTCACGCCGTCCATTGCCATGATCGTTGAAGAGGCGAAGAAAGAGTTGAACAGGAGTCCAATAATTCCACCTATGGCGTGTTCAGCGAAAAGGTCCAATGCGTCATCGACATGGAACAGAAATTTCACTGTAATATGTAAGAACCATGATGCTGACCCCGGCTACCAAAACTTACATTTCGTTGCAAAATTACACAAAACTCCAGATACGACGCCGACGATGACAGACGCCCATGGATGCAGATAACCCGAAGACGGGGTTGCTGCCACCAGACCGGCAATAGTTCCAGAGCAAAGGCCCACCATACTCCAGCGCCGGTTGATTCGGTAATCCAGCAAACACCAGACGATCCCTCCAAAGGCGGCGGCTATCATCGAATTCCAAACTGCGAAAATGGCGCGGAGGTTTGCTCCGAAGGCGCTACCTCCGTTGAAGCCGATCCACCCAAACCATAGCAACGAAGCTATGCGCAGTCAGCCGAATATCACACATAAAATAGTTCAAACGACGCACTGCCAAGTCCAACCAACGAAACGTTATGAGGTCGGAAATTGATTAATTCCCGCTTTTGTCTTCGGCCAAGAACCCACGAGTACGCAAGGCCACCCATACCACTGCCAATCTCGACTGGACCTCCGCCTAATGAAAAAGGACTGTCACTTTAGAACATTGAACAGTTGCATAACCTGCTCACCTGCGAAATCGAGAACACCCCACTTAGCGGCCCACCCATTAGCGCTCCATACCCAACAGACTAGAGGACAATATACGAGGGTCATCCATATAAAAATGAAGACCATTGCAGGCATGACTCTGCCACGCTCAGCGACGCCCCCTACTAAAATGCCTGCCGTGACGCAAGCAAACTCCATCTGAAAAAAACTGTATAGGATGTCGGGGAGCAGCGGTGTTCCTGGAGATGGTTCTCCCAATACTTTCATGAGGCCGAAATTTCTTAGGTTTCCAACAAAACCACTGGTGGCTGTGGGTGAAAAACCCAAGGAATAACCCCAAAGGAACCACTGGAAGACGACGACAGCGTTACTTGCCGATACAGCCCATATCAGTGAAACTGGTTCAGCGTGTTAGGAACGACAATTATTTTGAGTGACTACATAACGCACGAGCACTTTTGCGCCGGGACAGGCCGGAATAAAGAAAGGCTTGTGGAATATTTAGATGATGTGGTTCACTGGCGACTTGAAATTACACACCCAGCCCAGGTATCATAAAAGAGACCATCGCTCCAGAAATGATAATGAAAGAGAGATCCCCCCGATCGTATCTGTGGGTGCATCAGTCAATTGAAGGGACAGTAAAAAGCTTCGCACGAGTTTGTTGAGACAGCACGTATTAAATCCATTGAGTTACACAAAAGAAGTCAAGCGTAACACGCTGGCGGCGCAGACTTGAAGTAGGTGGGATGAGGAAGAGAGAGAGAGGAGGTGCACTTGAGGTGGCGTTTTATGTTGTGTTAAAGGATTGTCCCACCAGAACATGATCGGCCGGATTATTAGAATGGTCGGTTGAAGAAGGATCAATGAGGGAGTAATTAGAAGTCGCAGAAGTGCTTGCAAAAAAGCGATTGTGTTATCTGTGCATGGGGAACGAGTTCGTTGAGTTACGTCGGAAGATCCCGACGATTTAGACTCCGTCACATCGGCGGCAATGGCGACAGGACTGACCTCGACAGCTTGTTGCAACGTCCAGCCTCAAGACAGAAAATGTTCTCTCAAAGCACCAACAAATGTGCGACTGCCGCGATGTAAATCTTCTTGCAATCGCCCCAGTGTGAAGGGTATGCAGGTTCCATGAAACCTCGGGTAAAATGCGGAAACACATGAAGCTAGACAAAGTTGACCTGTAGATTAGATTGCTTCGATTCGGTAGCTACCTCTCAGAAGAAATCGGGATGACGACTACGCACACCTTCGATTCCTCAAGATAAGTAGACGTCTCTTCTTTACTACATTTCCATCGAGTTGAAATTGCGGACAAGTGCTGTCCGCCGACTCGGAGTCGCCGAAGAATGGCTATTTCTCGGTGTATTACCCTCGTGCATGATCGATCGCGGTGTTATGAGGGGAAGGTCGGAAGCAGTGTGGGGCGTAGGGAGCAGCTGTTATCAAAGAGAGGTAGAGATGAGCGCCGCCGTCGTTGACTTGACAACTTTTGCGCCGAACATTTCAGTCACACTGCTCACCGATATGCTTCTAAACCCTTCTATCTGACGCAGAAAGCGAATTGGGTCCTCAATTTTTTGAAGCCTCAACAATCATATCGAGGATCTGAATTTGCAAATCGGCCAAAAGGTAAATTGCCGAATGCCGTCCATTCTTGAGCACGTGAAAGGTTTGATCGCGATCATCGTAAAGGGCCTCCAAAGGCTTGCAAGGCCGTGGCATGGCTTGAAACAGCTTGAAACGCAATAACTGTAAGCAGGGTTCAGTGAATTAACTAGCATTGATTGATCATATTACGCCTCCGAGTGAGTACTTGCTGAATTGAATCAAGATCCGTCAACATGTTCTTATCCCACCCAAGACAAGTACGCAACACGTAGAAATATTCGAGCTGGTGCCCTCCCAGTAAGCACTGTCACTAGACATCCGCCGGACCTCAAGCTAATTATATTAAAATTTCCTTCTTGATGTCAAAAAAATCGAGAGAAAAGTAGCTCGTTGCAGAAAGAACCAAACTTGGAATACAAGCTATGTACTGGACCTTATTTATCTCCTTGGAGTTGGATATGTATATATCCTCTTATTTGCCGAGCTCGGTCATTACTGTGGTGGGGCCCAAATTTCGGCAATGCATCTTGAGAATTTCGAAGGCTTTGTTGGACGTGAAGCAGGGAAAATCTTTTTCCATTTGAAAACCAAAAACGCTGGCTGTACGTCCTCGAGCACGGTAAATTAGTTTGCGAAACGATCATCGCCAGATCGCACAAATCCCTTGATGGCATCGACGAGATTGAACTCCGCCTAATGGAATCGGCCACGACAGATTATGAGAATTTAACAGCCATCACGAAACGCAGATATAAAAGCTTGAGCTCAATTCTCCGTCGCCCATCCCACGTTCATTTTTTACCACGCTTCTTTGAATTGCTGGGCATGGCTGACGCCGCACAGTTTTCGCAGATCGTTCTCAACGATACGTGAGTGTCATTCGCTTCATTATCATCAATCCCTCATTTTCTCTCCAATGTAGCTTGGGTGCAGCTTTTATCGGAGTTGTGGTCTCTGGATGGTGAGCATTCATGGTATCCTTGTAACAGCGCTCTCAGATTAACTACTCCACAGCCTTTTTGGAGGTCTTCCATTTCCCATCCTCCGTTTATGTAAAAAAATGACAGAACTCTCCCAGTTTCTTGCATTCAAGCCTGGTACTACTTCACACACCAAAGCGACCGATGGCCCCTCAAAACTCTGGTGAAAATTGGTTTCAGATGCTCTTATCTCACATACATGGTGCTCACTTCGCATAGGTTGCGGCCGTAG